TTGTCTATCCACTTAAGAATTTTGTAACTTTCTATGAGACCACCTCTCACCCTTCAAAACTCTTGAGAATACAGTATAACAAGGTATAACAAGGGTCTACCCGAAACGTCAGCTTTCCTGCTCCTCTGATGCTGCTTGGCCTGCTGTGTTCATCCAGCTCTATACCTTGTTATCTCAGATTCTCCAGATATCTCTTGAGAATACAGACCCATTTTCTTCACTGTAAAATAGTCCTATCATCCCAGGGATTAATCTGATGACCCTGCATTGGTGCCTCTGGCAAGAAGAGACTTCCCATGATAAGGAGACCAATTTTTGTTTTTATTCACTCGCGAATGTGGGCATTGCTGCCAGACCAGCATTCGCTGCCTGTCCCCAGCCGCCCCAGAGAAGGTGGTGATGTGTGAGTGGGACCTCCCCCTCTCCCCAATCGCTGCAGGCTGACCCGCAGTGCCCCTAGGGAGGGAACTCCAGGACCCCCAACCCAGCGACAGTGAAGGGACAGCGACACACTGCCAAGTCAGGACGGTGAGTGACCCAGAGGGAAATTGCAGGAGGCAGTGTTCCGATGTTTGTGCTGCCCTTGCCCTTTTGGACAGAAGTGGCCGTGGGCCCGGACGGTGCTGTCGGAGGATCCCCAGTGAACCTCTGCAGGGCATCCTGCAGACAGCACACACCGCTGCTACTGAGCTACCAGTGGCAGAGGGAATGGACGCCCACAGACTTGGCGCCAATGAAGCGGGCCACTCCATCCTGGACAGTGTCAAGCACCCGCCCACCCCCCCCCCCCCACCCCCCCGAGCACTGCCAGAGCTGCACCCATCCAGGCAAGTGGGGAACATTCCACCACAACCCCTGGCCCACACCCCGTAGATAGGCCGCGGGGAGTCAGGAGATAGCCACAGGATTTTTGTAGCCCCACTGTGTGGTGAGTCCAACAGGGCCTGTGGCCAATACCAACCTCAAGGATGTTGACAGTGGGCAACCCGGAGATGGCAAACCATTGGATTCCAAAAGGGGCAGCGATCAGATTGGAGATGATCATCGCCTGGCACCTGGGTGGATCAAATGCCACCCATCAGCCCAGGCCTGAGCACTGTCTGGATCCCGCTGTACCCAAACATGGACCGCCCCGGCACCCAAAGAGTTGCAAGTTCTGCCAAACGCAGTGCAATCATCGGCGAACATCCCCACCTCTGACCCCCTGGTGGAGGGAAGGTCACTGACGAATGCAGCTGAAGAAGGATGGGCCCAGGACACTACGGAGGAAACCCCCTCAGAGACCCCCCGAAGCTGAGATGATCGACCTCCAACAACCGCCCACATGCCAGGCATGACTTCAGCCAGCGGAGTGTTCTCCCCCTGATACCCATTGACCACAGCTCCAACAGAGCTCCTCAATGCCACACTCAATCGAACGCAGCCCCAGTGCCAAGAGCTTACCACTTGCACCTCACCCCTGGAACCCAGCTCCGAATGTCCTGTTCTTCCAGAACTATATGTTGCAAAGTGTCTCAGCAACAAAATCTGGGGGACTGTGAGAGCTTACCTGACCGATAAGCTCCAGGGATGTCAGAATATGTTGCTGCTCGTCCATTCCAGTGTAAGTGCATTTTCATCATGTGGTGAATCAGAAATGTTTACTGAGACTACCACAATAGTTCCAACTTCTCAACCCTTCCCCTGACTCTCAGGTTAAGTTCAGTACCTGTCACCTCTCTCTCTCTCTCACTGTCTAATGAGAGAGCAGGACTGCGGTCCTCTGGGTCTACATGACTTTATTTAAATCTCAAAGTCCACCAAACAACCTCTTTGGCAGTGAAAATTAGCATTTATAAGTGCGGTGCCCCGTTCCTTCCATTTTTAATCATTGTTTCAGTTAGCACTTTTAAAAAAAAATTTTTATTTCTGACTCTCGTCTCTCACGATCCTGTTTCGTTCCTCCACTTGATTTAGATTTTGTTATGTGATTTGACAGCAAGTTCACTATCCAGACTTCCTGGTTCAGACTCCGTGCTGCTGTTTGCTGAGAGCGATGCACAGTTGCTCGCCCTGTTCCAGATCGCAGATCCCAGATCCGCGTTCCCCACCACCCCACCCCACCACTCCCCCACATAGGGTCCTCAATTACTGCAAGGCCCAGAGCAGAGCCCCCATTGAAAGTTAATGGACATTTGCGAGTGTACTGACCAGCTGAGGCACTGACAGTAAAATCCGAGCCATTACGTTGAGAATGCCATCACTTACTTTCTCCCAGAGATTTTACTAGACAGCATAGCTTCACCAGAAGCAAAGGGTTCGATTATGCAGCTAGGCTGTGTCAATTGGCTGGTCTTACCTGGAGTATGGAAGATTGAGAGGTGATCTGTTTGATGTCATAAACGAATCATCATAGAATCCCTACAGTGTGGAAACAGGCCCTTCGGCCCAACAAGTCCACACCGACTCTCAGAGCATCCCACCCAGACCCATCTCCCTATTCTACACATCCCTGAACACTACGGGCAATTTATCATGGCCAATCCACCTAACCCACACATCTTTGGACTGTGGGAGGAAAGCGGAGCACCCAGAGGAAACCCACGCAGACACGGGGAGAATGTGCAAACTCCACACAGACAGTCGCCCGAGGCTGGAATCAAACCCGGGTCCCTGGTGCTGTGAGGCAACAGTGCTAACCACTGTGCCACCGTGCCTTGTATTCCTGTAGGGATTTGACACTGTTTCCTCAGGTTGGAAAAATCAGGAATGAGGGGAACATTGTGCAAAAGTTAAAGCCGTTAAGAGGGAAAATCAGGCGGCTGTTTTCATCAGAAAGCCAGACAGAGATGTGGAACATGATTCCCTCCAAAGTTTGTGAGCTTCACATCACTAGAAATGTGTCAAGGCCCAGGGAGGTGGGGTTTCTGAGATGCAGGGCAGGCCTGAATGAATCAAGTGAGGGAGCAGGCCTGAGGGGCTGAATGGCCTAATATTCCATAGTTAGAAGGAGAGCTGCATGCCCTGATTGTGGTGTCTGACTTAATTAAGTCAAGGGGCCCTGTTGCTTTGCACTGCATTGGCCATTCTAAAGGTGCCAAATGTTTCGTGTTGAATTGTGGGCTAGGTTGAGGCTTTCCCTCCCAGTGTGGGAGGCTGTGAGAACTGTCCTGGTATCACAGAAACAACATTCCATTAATTTCTCATCCTTTACTGCTTTCCTCGAGCCAACCTGTGGTCCAGTGATAGGTAAGCTTGGTGAACCCTCTCCTTGAGGTGGTGTAACTCAAGTGCACAATACTCCCTGTCGCCATGCGTCAGACAGAATGCTGGAAAGGTCCAGTGTGGAAGTGCTTTGTTTTCAAATAGGCCCTGAGCCCAAATATTACTCCATTCAGAGGTTTTTAATTCCCTCCGGCCATGCTTCTGTGAGCAACAAAATTCCTTTCCACGCGGCGTTTGGAATTTTGTTGGAATTTGGTACGTTACCTGATGAAATTAAACACTGTGGACCCTGGAAATAGTGACAAAAAGTGCTGGAAAAGGCTCATTGGGGTGGAATGGGGGTGGGGGGACGTGGGGGGGGAAGGCCTCCTCTATGAAGACAGAAACAGACCTTTAGGGTCAACACTGGGTTGAATGTTCCTCCCTCTCCCCTTCCCATCATTCCCATTATAGCCCTCCCCCCCTTTCCCACCGTTCCCATTATAGCACCCCTTCTTCCCATCATTACCATTATAGCCACCCCCTTACCCACCGTTCCCATTGTAGCCTCCCCCTTCCCCACCGTTCCCATTATAGCCCCCCTCCCTTCCCACTGTTCCCATTATAGCCCACCCCGCTTCCCACCATTCCCATTATAGTCCTCTCCCCTTCCCACCATTCCCATTATAACTCCCCCCTCTTCCCACCATTCCCATTATAGTCCCCTCCCCTACCCACCATTCCTATTATAGCTCCCCCCCCACCATTCCCATTATAGTCCCCCCTCTTCCCACCATTCCCATTATAGTCTCCCCAGGGATGCAGTGGCAAAGCTGTGGGTGAAAAATGGGGTTGCCTCAGTTTTCTACAGTGAATTGTCGATTGCAAAATCAGCTTCAGTGTCACGCTGATTGTATCTCCCGTCTTGAGCCATTCTCAGGGGGTTCCCACCTGTACCAGAGGAACTACAGGCTGCTGTTCTGGGCCAAACACACAAACACACACACACACACACACACACACACACACAGATGCACACACACACAAACACACACAAACACATGCAGACACACACACACAGATGCACACACACACAAACACACACACACACACATACAGACACACACACATACAGACACACACACACACACACACAGACACACACATACAGACACACACACAAACACACACAGACACACACAGGCACACACACACACAAACACACACAGACACACATACACACACACAAACACACACAGACACACACACACACACACACACACACACATGGTCAGGTTTCATCTGTTGTGAGACAAACGAGACTTAATGTTCCGGGTGATGGACAGACCTTCAGCTCGCTGTGAGCCTGGGGTGAATGCTGTGTACGATACACCCTCAAATTCACATTTGAGGCATGTAACTGATGGCCGGGACAATCCAGACTGAAAAGACTCAGTCCTGAGGTAGCTAGAAGAGCGGTACCCTCGATAAGTGCCTGTCGAATGTTGTGTGCATCCTCATCCTCAGGCTGTGACGCTAATTGAATGTTAAGTTCACAGCCCATGCAGCATCACCATTGATTCAGGCAGATGATTCAGGCATCAGGCCATGCGGCAAAGGCAATGTCTCTAGCTTTGGCATCGTTAAATCAGGCTGCACCCTTTGTTTTCTCTCTTGCATGATCTTGGTGAACATGAGCTTTACACCATGTCCCGTGTAAAAAATGGTAGCAGTGTTGACTACCACCGCATTGTAGGGTACTTGGTACTTCCTGACAGACCTCACTTTACCAGGATCTCATCTCTGTCATTTCTCAGGTTCCCAAAGGCGGAGAGTCCTCCCGAGCCTGTCCCCTGATGCAGCATCTCCAGCCCGCAAACCGGCCAACAGCTCCGGGGTCCGCTGGCTTGACCTACGACCCATGCAGAGGGGCCTGGCCGAACCGTTTGAGATCAAGGTCTATGAGATCGATGACGTGGAACGACTGCAGAGGAGGCGAGCAGCAAACAGCAAGGTTTGTAAATTCTCTCTAAATAGCATTAGGCATCGTCCCTGTAATGTCTACAATATCATACCCTCTGAGATACTTCCAATTTTCCATTGTTTGCTTGTGCCAGCATCAGTTCTCACTTCCAATTTTCAGGCCGATAAATTAGTAAATCACCGATGGCAGGGACAGCATTTCTTGCCCGTCCCTAGTTGCCCCTTGAGAAGGTGGTGGTGAGCTGCCTTCTTGAACCACTGCAGCCCGTGTGCTGTGGGTTGACCCACAATGCCATTAGGGAGGGAATTGCACAATCTTGACCCAGTGACAGTGAAGGAATGGCGATAAACTTCCAAGTCTAAGCGATTATCCACTTTGATAGCAAAAACGGGAAGGCAGATGGTTAACTGAATGGTGATAGATTGGGAAAGGGGATGGTGCACTGAGAGCTGGGTGCCTTGTGTACAGGTCGCTGAAAGTAAGCATGCAGGGACAGCAGGTGGTGATGACAGAGAATACTATGTTGGTCTTCATAGCGAAAGGTTCCAAGTACAGGAGCAGAGATGTTTTGCTACAATTATACAGGGCCTTGTTGAGACCACATCTGGAGTATTGTGTGCAGTTTTGGTCTCCTTATCTGAGGAAGGATGTTGTGGCAATTGAGGGAGCACAAAGAAAATTTCCCAGACTGATTCCTGAGATAGCAGGACTGACATAGAGGAAGAGACTGGATCAGTTAGGACTACGTTCACTACAGTTTAGAGGAATGAGGGGAGATCTCATAGAAACCTACAAAATTTGAACAGTAATGATGTTCCCAATGACCAGAGATTAGGGTGTAAGGATAAATGGTAGGCCTTTTAGAATAGAGATGAGGGGAAATTTCTTCACCCAAATGGTGGTGAGCCTGTGCAATTCACTGCTGTTAAGGCCAAAACATTGGAGACTTTAAAGAAAGATGTAGATATAGTTCTCAGGGCTAAAGGGATCAAAGGATATGGGGCAAAAGTAGGAGCAGGGTATCAGTGAGTTGGATGATTAGTCATGATCATATTGAATGGTGGAACAGGCTTGGAAGGCTGAATGGCTTTCTGCTGCTCCTGTATTCGAGGTTTCTAAGGCCGGATGGTGAGCGGCCTGAAAGGGCACTTGCAGGTAGTGGTGTCCCAATGTACCTGCTGTCCTCGTGTTTGTCTATAAGATAATGGTCGTGCGGTTGGAAAGTGCTGTCAAAGGAACTTCAAGGCGTTGTTGCAGAAGGGCACACACTGCTGCGCCTGTTGCTATAGTGGAGGGAGTGGATGTTTGTGGATGTGGTGCCAATCAAGCGGGCTGCTTTGTGCTGGATAGTGTCAATCTTCTTGAATGTTGTTGGAGCTGCACCCATCCAGGCAAGTTTTTATTTAATTTGCTGATGAAATAAGGGTGTCACTGGCCAGACCAATCCAGAGGGCAGTTAAGGGTCAACCATGTTGCAATTCTTTAATCTCCTGTCTTATCTTTTTATCTTTCCAACTTTCCTTGTTCATCTTTATTTTATTTTATTTTCCTCCATGCTGCAATAGAGGAACCCCTCCCATCCTCTACCCAACCCCTCCCTTTACGCATGGAGATTTCCCAGGGCAGATGTTGGGCCCACCTCTTGCTCAGATGGCAAACGTACATCCTGCCTGTACCTTCGCTCTCCAGAAACCCAAACCCTTCGCTTGTGCACCATCTCACCACAACCCATTTTCATCCTTTGCCTCACTGTTTCTGCACTGATTAGGGCGTGGCTACAGGAGAACTCTTCAGATTGTAACCTTCAGAACCCAACTCTTGAATCTATCAGAGACAGTAGGAACTGCAGGTGCTGGAGAATCTGAGATAACAAGGTGTAGAGCTGGATGAACACAGCAGGCCAAGCAACATCAGAGGAGCAGGAAAGCTGATGTTTCGGGCCTAGATCCTTCTTCAGAAATTTCTTGCTGCTCCTCTGATGCTGCTTGGCCTGCTGTGTTATCTTGAATCTATCACCTGCTTTCAAGGGCAGTATCCTCCCTCATCCCTTTGTCCAGAATGTGGAATATGACTCAAGGTCATGTTGGGGTGTTCTGCTTGGATTGAACGGGAGGAATTGAGGGAAAGCAATAGCTGCATGCCACTTAGTGTCACAGGGTAGCGATTCATCCCATTGAGTTCATCCCAGCTCCCAATAGAGCAACCCAGTCAGACAGTCCCATTCCCCAACTCTATCCCAGTACTCCTGTTTATTTCCCTCAAGTGCCCATTAAATTTCCTTTTGAAATCCTTCATCATCTCTGCCTCTACCACGCTTGTAGCTGGTAAGTTCCAGTTTATTTAACATTGTTTGTTTAAAAGCTTTCCTCACGTTCTTCCTTGCTGAACATCTGTGTCTCCTTAGTCCTTGTCTATTTGTCAACTTTACTCCCATCCTCAATTGCAAGTTGAACCATGGCCTTCCATTGGCCTGATCTCTGCTTCTGGGCAAAGGACTGCAGTTGTTCGCACTTGCCTTCAGCAAGATGGCTGACCAGGAGACTGTCCAGCTCTTACTGTCTGCCATCAGATGTCCTGGAAAAATTTATGGGCTGACTGTCAACTTGTTTGGCCACATTATGAACACACCTTGCAAGTCCTGGTGGGATTTGAACTTGAAGCTTGCTGGTCCAGAGGTAGGAATGCTACTAACCCTGCCACAAGCCCTCCCACCATCACCACCTCAGACCATCAGCTAATGGAAGCAACTTTCATTTGTTTACCTTATCTAAACCTATTGTAAACTCGCACATCTTTTGTCTTCCTTAAGTTGTACCTACATGCTAGCTTTTCTTGCACTTGGTTCCATGAGCCCACATTCTGCTGTCCTGGCCACATTCAACTTCAAAAAGGTAATGTTCTTAATTCCAGTTGCGGGGATTTGTATGTTTCAACGCAAAACTGAAGATATTGGAACATCGGCAGCAGAGGATCTCAGAGGTCAAAACCAAATATGACATACTGAAGAAGGAGCTGGAAGCCACCAAGCAACGACTGATGCTGGATCCGAGCAAGTGGGTCAGTGAGTGTAAGTACTGCATGGACCTTCCAGTCCCAAGCATGTTCCTGCAGCACTGGGAAAGCTAGAAAGAATGCCCTCCCAGGCGAGACACCTTGGTCAAGGAAGCCCAATGATATTGCTCTGAGGAGAAGATGAGCTCATGTCCCAACCATGAGGCACACAAGTGGGAGGCTTGGCAATTTTTTACCAGTCAGAATGTCACCAAAAATGAAGAGGGCATGATGCATCTAAGAAATGAGGTCCTTTTACAGAAAATTTTGTGATTCCTTTTCATGTTATGCTGTCTAGGACCTAGCGGCAGTGAACGAAGGGCGATATGTTTCCAAGCCAGGATGGTGAGAGGCTATGAGTAGAACTTTCAGGAGGTGGTATTCCCATTGCATCCGCTGCCGCTTGTCCTTCTCGACGGTAGAGGTCAGGGGTTTGGAAGGACATTGGGTGATTTACTGTAGTGGATTTTGTAGGTGGTGCACATTATAGGCCACCATACACCAGCGTTAGAGCTATGAATAACATCAACTATATTATTACACACAACTGGGGCATTGATCCTGCGACATGTGTTCTATATGTTCTAGATGATGTAGGAAGGATAGAGAGAGAGGCAAGAGAGGAGAGGGAGTGACGTTTTTGATTAAGGAAAACGTTACTACTGTAGTTGGTGAGAATATTTCTGTGGGATTGTCCAGTGAAACTATATGGATAGAAATTAGAAATAAGAAAAGGATGGTCACCTTGATGGGATTGTACTTTCGCTCCCTCCTCCTCTCCCCAGTTGTCAGAGGGAAATTGAGGAGAGATATACGTATAGAGAGATATATAGAGAGATCCTACATATATGTAAGAGTAATAGGGGTGTAATAGTAGGGGATTTTAATTTTCCAAACATTGACTGGGACTGCCATTGTGTTAAAGGCTTGGGTGGTGAGCAATTTATTAAATGTGTTCAAGATAATTTTCTTTATCAATCTGTAAATGTACCTACTAGAGAAGAAGCAAAACCTAACCTTTTCTGGGGAAGTAAGGCAAGGCAAGTGACTGAGGTGTTAGTAGGGGAACACTTTGGGATTAGTGATCATAATTCTATTAATTTTAAAATAGTTTATGGAAAAGGATAAGCAAGTTAAAGTTTTTAATTGGAGTAAGGCACATTTTAAATGGTATGAGACAGGAACTTTCAAAAGTTGATTGGAGTAGACTGTTTGCAGGTAAAGGGACAAATGACAAGTGGAAGGTGTTCAAGAGTGTGATGATGAGAGTTCAGAGGCATTATTTTCCTGTTAGATTGAAGGGTAAGGCTGGTAAGATTAAGAAACAATGGATGGGTAAAGATATTGAGGCTCTGGTCAAGGAAAAGAAGGTTTCATATATTAGATACAGACAATTGAGATCAAGTGAATCTCTTGAAGAGTGTGAACAGTGTAGGGACATTCTTAAGAGGGAAATCAGGAGGGCAAAAAGGGGATATGAGAGAGCATTGGCAGAGAAGGTTATGGATAATCCAAAGAGATTTTACAAGTACATGAAGAACAAAAGAGGAATTCTATGTTTTGAACCTCAGGAAATGGGAGAGATACTAAATGAATATTTTGCATCAGTTTTTACTGTGAAGAAAGAAGTGGACGCTAGAGAACTTGGAGAAATATTGATGTTTTGTACATCAACAGTTCACAATACAGAGGAGGAAGTGCTGGATGTCTAACAAAACATAAAAGTGGATAAATCTTCAGGAAATGATAAAGTGTAGCCCAGGACATTGTGGGAAGTTAAGGAGGAAACTGTGGGGCCCCTAGAAGAAATATTTGTGTCATCTGTGAATTCTGGGAACTATAGACCTGTGAGCCTGACGTTGCTGGTGGGTAAGTTGTTGGAGGGGTTTCTGAGAGGGAGCATTTAAATGCATTTAGAGAGGCAAGGACTGATTAGTCAGCATGGTTTTGTGTGAGAGAAACTGTGTCTCACAAACTTGATTGAGTTTTTTTGAGGAAGTAACCAAAAAGATTGATGATGGCAGAGCAGTCGATGTTGTTTACAGGGACTTTAGTACAGCTTTTGAAAAGGTTCAGCATGGTAGACTAATTAGTTATGTTAGATCACATGCAATTCAGGAAGAGCTTGCCAATTGGATACAAAATTGGCTTAATGGTAGGAGACAGAGGGTGGTGGTGGAGGGTTTTTTTTGGACTGGAGGCCACTTTTGTTTGTCATTTACATAAAACGATTTGATTGAGAAAGTAGGAAGCATGGTTAGTAAGTTTGTGAATGACACCAAAATTAGTGGTATAGTGGATAGTGAAGAAGGTTGTCTAAGTTTACAAAGAGATCTTGATCAATTGGGTCAATGGGCTGAGGAGTGGCAGATGGAGTTTAATTAGGATAAATGCGAGGTATTGCATTTTGGGAAAACAAACAAGGGCAGGACTTATACAATTAATGGTAGGGCCCTGGACAGTGTTGTAGAACAGAGAAACCTAGGGGTTTAGGTATGTAATTCTTTGAAATTTGAGTCCCAGGTAAACAGGGTGATTAAGAAGGCACACTTGACTTCATTGCTCAGATGTTTGAGTATAGGAGTTAGGATGTTATTTTGAGGTTGTACGGGACATTGATGAGGCCTATTCTGGAGTGTACTGTGGGCAGTTCTGGCTGCCCTGCTATAGGAAGGATATTATTAAATTGAAGCAGGTTCAGAAAAGATTTACCAGAATGTTGCCGGGAATGGAGGATTTGAGCTATAGTAATCGGCTGGGACATTTTAGACTGGAGCATAGGAGCTGGAGGGATGACCTTATCGAGGTTTATAAAATTATGAGGGGCATAGATAAGGTGAACAGCAAGGGTCTTTTCCCTAAGGTGGGGGAGTTCAAAACTGGGGAGCATATTTTTAAGGTGAGAGGAGAAAGTTTTAAAAAGGGACCTGAGGGGCAACGTTTTCAGACAGAGAGTGTGGAATGAACTGCCAGAGGAAGTGGTGGATGCAGGGTACAGTTACAGTATTTAAAAGACATTTGGATAGGTACACGAATAGGAAAGGTTTGGAGGGATATGGGCCAAATGCAGGCAGGTGGGACTAGTTTCGTTTGGGAACATGGTCGGCATGGGCTAGTTTCCATGCTGTATGACTCTATGACATAAGAAACATATAATGTAGACATTTACAACATGCAAACAGGCCATTCGGCCTCCCCAATCCATGTCAGCATTTAGCTTCCCAAAGCACAATTCTCAACTCGAACTGTCAACATTATTATTTTCTCAGTCATTAGCTGCAAATGTCTGTATAATCCACTGGTAAGTTGAAGTTATCATGAAGGTCCCTCCTTCTCAACCCTTCCCCTCACCTAAGGTATGGTGACCCTCAGGTTAAACTCAACCCAGTTGTCTCTCTAATGAGAGAGCCACCCTGTGGTCCTCTGGGGACTGTGGCAACTTGATACAATCCATTGGGGTTTCCCAGTCAGTATGGACATGTTTGTTAATGTGATACAAAAGGGTCCGGGGGGGGGCAATTTTTTGACATAGTAGGGGTGGTGAGTGTCTGGAACAGGCTGCCAGAGGTAGTGGTGGAGGTGAGTACAGTTTTGTCGCTTGAGAAACATTTGGGCAAGTACATGGATGGGATAGGCATGGAGGAATATGGACCAAACACAGGCAGAGGGGACTAGATTAATTGTGAAAACAGGGCGGCACAGACAAGTTGGGCCAAAGGGCCTGTTTCCATTGCTGTAAACTTCGATGACTCTTTAAGTTACACAGGGGGAAATAGCAGACTGTACGATGCAACCAGGGTGTCCCTGACCCCCAATTAAATGTTCTGCTCTGGGCATCTTGTCTTTCCACAGTTGATCTGGATCAAGGTTTCGAGGTAGACTCGCTGGAATATCTGGAAGCTCTGGAGTGTATCACCGAGCGGCTGGAACACCGGGTCAATTTCTGCAAAGCTCACCTCATGATGATCACATGCTTCGACATCGCGTGCGGGAGGCGCTAGAGAGGGGGGTGGGGCTGGGCGAAACGAGTGCTCATGGCAGAGGAGGAGACTGGAGCGGAAGGAGGATTTTTTTCTTTAAAAAAAAAACACCCAAAGATACCAGGAAGACGAGGACGGAGGTGCAAAGTGTGGAGCATGTTTGTGAAATGAGTTTTGTTTCTGGCAACAACGGAATGTACACGGAGGGATGGAAAAGAATGAGTGGAGGGCCTGAATATTGGAGTGTGAGAATGTTCACTCTTCCATCAGATTGTCAAAGCACTTTTGAGGAACTTTTGCGATGTTGTAAATAGGGATCACTCGCTCCAATTTCCCTTTATTCACTGAGTCGGGTGGGTGGGAGGGGGAATGAAGGGCTGTTACTAAGAAATCCATAATGATATACAGAAGGACAATAAGTGCCTTGTAAACTTTATTATATTATATTATCCAAAATCTTACATCGACACATTATTGTACAGTTGGTGCTAGATGATGAATGTTTCACTGTGCTGTTATAGAGGCGGTATCCATTTTGTAAACCAAACTTAAACCTACACCCCATCCCAGACCCAACATTCTCACCGAGCTCGGTGTTTAACACAGAATCCGATTACGAGCAGGGGGAGAATGCCAGTGAACTTGCTTACCTTGTGGGTCCACAGAAGAATATTTCGTAACATTTTGAACCAATTCTGACTGATTCTACACGGTAGTCCTTTTTTTATATAAAGGTTTGGCGAACTGTAAAGTGCGTCGTAGTGTGGAGTTGAGTTTTCAAGAATCCAGTGGAGCTACGTTGAACAAAAATTAAAGAATAATGTTTCAGTAAAGGATGAGCTCAAGGTTGTTTTACTTGGTGTTTTAACTACTTGCTGTTTTTAAGTAACTTTGTATCTATAGAGTAGGTCAGTAGTCAGGAAGCAGCACATTATTAAAGTGAATGTCTTTTACTCATGGTGAATAGACCACTCAGGGCCCCAGTGATGCCTCTCAGGCAGATCCCTGCAAGCTTTGTATAATTTAAAACCAATTCAAAAGCACATATGGACATCTTTATTATTGATGGTTGTGGGATTACTAGATACACACACATGCACACACACACACACACACACACACACACACAATAAATGTAATCCAGGTTCTCCCATGTTCTGCACTCACACGTGTAATTTGCAAGCAGTGTGTGTTTAGTGATGTTACTGGAAGAGCCACTCCATCATCTCCGTAGGCCAATCGGCCACCCGACCTCCTCCTGACCCCCTGTGAACCTGCTGTGCAGGTCATGGCTGTTCAATACATCGAGCATCATTAGCCTGCCTCAGCTCCAGAATCCTGGTTAGCTTTAACCAACAAACCAAGTGCATCCTGAAATCTCGTCAGTGTGTCGTTTATTGAATCTGAAACTCAGGTCATTTGTTACAAGGCTGCAAGGCAATATTTGTCCGATCTCTGTTCGGGTCAGCAATGGTCCTGCCAACAAAGCAATGACATCAATGGATACTGTACAGAAAATCTGTTACCATCATGCAGTACTGCTTCGGGCTGTTCATATGCTGGAATTACAGTCGAGGTTTGGATGGGATACAACTGACCTAAACCCTGATGGAATGTGTTGAAGCGAGAGGTTCAGAAAAGCTAATTAATGGAATTGGCATCTGACTAATTCTGGCCTGGATAATCTGGCATTTAAGAAGGATGTCTCTGAGGTCAACTAAATTCTGGGAAGCTTATTTTGAAAATAAAAGCCCCTTCTTGTTTTCCATATGCTCTGTCTGGATGCCTAAATGTGAATTATTGCTATTTAAACCAACTAATCATCAGTAAGGCAAACATTAGAGTTTGCATAGAACATAGAACAGTACAGGCCCTTCGGCCCACGATGTTGTGCAGACCAGTTTAGGCCATGGTCATAGGCTACAGTACTATCTCCATTTTCAAATCAGACTCTGTCCCCATTGCCTTGTCTGGCTGCAGTGCAGTAACTTCCATCCAGTCCTTAATCTGCGGAAAACCAGCTGACCTCATTCCCATGTACTCCCAAAGTAACATTCAGCCTGTGCCATCCCCTGACCCAGTGCCAGCTCTTGCAACCCATGCAAAACAGACTGGAACCCGAGAGCTTTGCAGGACATGAGGTGGAAATAATCTTCATGTTTAAGCATGTCTGTCTCCATTTCAATATGATACCACAGTAGCATACTCAAAGGACTTTTGTAAAACGATACATCTAATTCATATGGTAGTGGGCCGACGACAGATCGCTGAATGGAGATTAAAAGGTTACACCCACATAGCCCCATAGCCACCAGCCCCTCCCCTCCCTTGGCCTCACCATTAGACCTGAGTTAACCTGGCGAACAGGTCAGCGGGGTGACACACAGTTTTGGGTTCATCAGTTTAATGGCGAGGTTGATTATTTTATTGCTCTTTCCATCCATAAGGGGCATAATTAAAAGAGCAAGCGCCACACTGAAGAAAGCTAATCATTGTCAGATTTGGCAGCAGAGTCAAAGCACTTCACACCTGTTGTTGGCCAGAGCGAGGGCTTTTTCCTGGGAAGTCCAAAAGCCTCCAGGGAATTTCCACACCTAAGGAATGAGTGAGACTGAGCTTGGCGTTTGTCTGCCTGAGAAACACATTGCCTCTGTGTGGTCTTTCTCAAAAGTTGTGCATTATATTTTCCAGATATTTGTCTCTTTAATGGTGCTTGTGGCAACTTCAGCTCTGAATGTTTATGAGTCAAACTCTTTTTCTCTCTTGACTTAAATTAATCCCACACCTTGAGCTGCTGCCTAACACATCTTCGTCATGTTATGTATGAAGGACATAATTTATTTATGAACTCAGGATGCTCTTGTTTTATAAAGTTGCTTGTATTTTGTAATTTATTTACACATCACGATAAGAAGCTAACCAGTGCTAACTATGCATTGTTATGTACAGTCGCCCAATTCACATTGTTCTACCTTTGTTCTAGCTTGGTTTCCTTTGCATTGTAATCTTGGACTTTACTTGTCAGAATAGTTGAGGCTTGCTGTTTACCTAATCCCCTTTGTATAAAATGTGTACCATAGTCAAATATTGTAGCCTGGTATTGTGAATAAACATTATATTTTACATCCTGTTAAAACAAGATGTCACTGGCTTGTCGAAACAAGGTGCTCCTGCCTACAATGGTATAAGTTGCAAATGTTGCTGACTGGCACATCCACTTTATCGCCCATACTGCCATCTGAAACACTCATCTGATTGCCTGGCACACCCATCTCATTGCCTGGCACACCCATCTCATTGCCTGGCACAACAAGGTGCAGGGCTGGATGAACACAGCAGGCCAAGCATCATCATAGGAGCAGAAAGGCTGACGTTTCGGGCCTAGACCGTTCATCAGAAAAGGGGGAGGGGAAGGGGGTTCTGAAATAAATAGGGAGAGAGTGGGAGGCGGATAGAAGATGGATAGAGGAGAGGATAGGTGGAGAGGAAACAGACAGGTCGAAGAGGCGGGGATGGAGCCGGTAAAGGTGAGTGTAGGTGGGGGGGTTAGGGAGGGGATAGGTCAGTCCGGGGGGGACGGACAGGTGAGGGGGGGGGGGATGAGGTTAGTCGGTAGGAGATGGGGGTGTGGCTTGAGGTGGGAGGAGGGGATAGGTGGGAGGAAGAACAGGTTAGGGAGGCGGGGACGAGCTGGAATGGTTTTGGGATGCGGTAGGGGGAGGGGAGATTTTGAAGCTTGTGAAATCCACATTGATACCATTGGGCTGCAGGGTTCCCAAGCGGAATATGAGTTGCTGTTCCTGCAACCTTCGGGTGGCATCGTTGTGGCACTGCAGGAGGCCCAGGATGGACATGTCGTCTGAGGAATGGGAGGGGGAGTTGAAATGGTTCGCGACTGGGAGGTGCAGTTGTTTATTGCAAATCGAGCGTAGGTGTTCTGCAAAGCGGTCCCCAAGCCTCCGCTTGGTTTCCCCGATGTAGAGGAGGCCACACCGGGTACAGCGCACCCATCTCCTTGCCTGGCACACCCATCTGACCCGCGAGCCATGCTTCCAACAGCTTGCATGGTACTCCTCGCGAGGTAAGCTAGAACGAGGAGTTACAGTTTTAGGATAGGAGATAGCACATTTAAAACGGAGTTGAGGGGAAAATTATTTCTCTCAAAGGGTGATGAATCTGTGGCATTCATGTGTGGCGGATGCCAAGATACAGGTTACGTTTCAGGCAGAGGGTGTCAGATTTTTAATTAGTAATGGGTTGAGGGTTAGGGAGAGCAGGCAGTAAAGTGCAGTTGAGGCTGAGAGAAGAAAAAAGGAAGCATGTGTGAGCCTTGAGAAACTGAAATCAGACAAGGCTCTTGAGGAATATAAAGGAAGCAGGAAAGAACTTAAACAAGGAATTGTGAGGGCTAAAAAGGGACATGAAGTGTCCTTGACAGGTGATTGAGGAGAAGCCCAAGGCATTTTATACATATATTAGGAGCAAGAGAGTAGCAAGGGAAAAGGTAGGTCCACTCACGGACAGAGGGAGTTTATGCCAGAGGAAGTGGGTGAGGTCCTTTATGAATTCTTCACATTGGTATTCACCAAGAAGAAGGAATGAATGGTGCTAAGATTGGGGAGGGGTATGTTGATATTCTAGAGCACATCAGTTTTAGAAGGAGGTGGTATTGGGTGTCTTGAAAAACGTTAAGGTAGATAAGTGCCCAGGGCGTGATGAGGTCAATCCCAGGATACTGAAGGAGGCAAGAGAGAAGATTTCTGGGGGCCTTGTCAGAGATCTTCATGTTCTGTTTAGCTACAGATTTGGTTCCAGAAGGCCGGAAAATAGGAAACATTGCTCTCTTGTTTAAGAAGGAAGCAGATATAATCCAGACAATGATAGGCCAGTGAGCTTTACATCTGTGGTAAGGGAACTATTGAAGAAGATTTTTAGGGAAGGGATTTACTCGCATTTGAAAAAGAATGGACTTATTATGAATAGTCAGCGTGGCTTTATGCAGGAGAGGTCTTGTCTCTGAAATTTGATTAAGCTTTTTGAGGAAGTGACATTCATGACCAGAGGGCAGTAGATGTTGTCTACGTGGACTTTACTAAAGCATTTGACAAGGTCTTTCATGGTTGGTTGGTCCACACAATTGACTCAAATGGGCTCCAAGATGAGTTGGTAAGTTGGATACAAAATTGACTGTATACAATCATTGAGGGTAGTTCTAGAAGGAGTCTTTCTGACAGGAGGTCAGTGACCAAGTGGTATTCTGCAAGGATCAATGCTGGGACTTCTGTAAGTAATTTGGATGAAAATGTAGGTGGTCTGATTAATAAGTTTGCAGACAAAACAAAAATTGG